TACAGACATACTTGTTTAAGCTCAATAATTTCCATTCTATATTTCCAACTTATTTTGGAAGCGTTAAAAATAGTTCTCTTTGCAACTGGCTGCCTTGTAAAATTGGTGCTTTGACATTCCCATGAGCGGGTCTGTAAAAATGCGAGGTAAATCTTCAAACTCTCTTTTCCAATTGTTTGAGAGTCTGCTCTCACTTCCTGGTCTCATAGTGTTCCTCGAGTCTCCGAGCTGCAAATCTGCCCTTAACTTAATCCATTCCATCAGGAAGTACTGTTTTCTTATATATCGACCAAAGGGAAAATACTGGCTTTCCTTCATCAAACATTTCAGTGTATAGCCCAAACTCTCTCCTGCCGTTCTTGCTTTTCTTCATTTACCATTGACTGTCTAAGCTGTTGTTAACCACTGCAAAGTCTATTGAGTAACATTTGCGCCACACAAATGCCAGGCAATGACCATTTCCAATAAGGGGTAATCTAACCAGCTTCCCTTGACATTCAATGGTGTTACCATCACTGAATTCCCCACTATCAACATCCTGAGGGTTACCATTAAACAGAAACTCAACTGGACTCACCACATAAATACAGCAGCGACAAGAGCAGGTCAGAGGATAGGAACACCACAGCGAGTAACTCACTTCCTTACTCCCCAAAGCCTGTCCATTATCTACAAGGCACAAGCCAGGAGTCTGATGGAATAATCTCCATCTGGCTGTGTGGGTTCAGCTCCAACAATATCAACAACAACAAGATTGACATCATCCAGGACAGATTAGCCTGCTTGATTGGGAGTATATCTACTCCCTCCACCACCGACGCCCAGTAGCAGCAGTGTGTACTGTCTACAAGATGCACTGCAGAAATTCACCAAAGATCCTCAGACAGCACCTTCCAAACCAAAGACCATTTCCATCTAGAAGGTCATGGGCAGCAGGTATATGGGAACACCACCAACTGCAAGTTCCCCTCCAAGAAACTCACCATCCTGACTTCGAAATATATTGATGTTCCTTCACTGTTGCTGGGTCAAAATCCTGGAATTCTCTCCCTAATGGCATTGTGGGTCAACCTATAGCATGTGAACTGCAGCAGTTCAAGAAGGCAGCTCACCACCACCTTCTCAAGGGCAACTAGGAGCAGGTGTAGGATTGAGCAAGAATTCCCATCATCGAAAGTACTGGATAAGACCCTGGACTTTTCCAATACTGGGCAAAACCCTGGGCTGATGAGGCTGCAGCATCACTTAATGGCAAGGTCCTGGGGAAAGTTGCTGAACAAAGAGACCTTGGAGTGCAGGTTCATTGTTCCCTGAAAGTAGAGTCGCAGGTAGACAGGATAGTGAAGAAGGTGTTTGGTGTGCTTGCCTTTATTAGTCAGTGCATTGAGTATAGGAGTTGTGATGTTATGTTGTGGCTCTACAGGGCATTGATTAGGTCACTTTTGGAATACTGTGTACAATTCTGGTCACCCTGTTATAGGAACGATGTTGTAAAACTTGAAAAGGTTCAGAAAATATTTACAAGAATGTTACCAGGATTGGAGGGTTTGAGCTATAGGGAGAGGCTGAATAGTCTGGGGCTATTTTCCCTGGAGTGTCTGAGGCTGAGGAGTGACCACATAGAAATTTATAAAATCATAAGGGGCATGGATAGAGTGAATAGCCGAAGCCTTTTCCCCAGGGTAGCGGAATCCAAAACTAGGGAGCATAAGTTTAAGGTGACAGGGGAAAGAATTAAAAGGGACCTAAGGGGCAACATTTTCATGCAGAGGGTGATGCGTGTCTAGAACGAGCTGCCAGAGGAAGTGTTGGATGCTGGTGCAATTACTACATTTAAAGGGCATCTGAAAGGGTAAATGAATAGGAAGGGTTGAGAGGGATATGGACCAATGCTGGCAAATGGGACTTGATTAATTTAGGATATCTAGTCAACATGGCTGAGTTGGACTGAAGGGTCTGTTTCCAGAGATAGTAAGAACTGCCGATGCTGGAGTCAGAGATAACACAGTGTGGAGCTGGATGAATACAGCAGGTCAGGCAGCATCAGAGGAGCAGGAAGGCTGACATTTCGGGTCGGGACCCTTCTTCAGAAATGGGGGAGGGGAAGGGGGCTCTGAAATAAATAGAGAGAGGAGGGGTGGTGCTTGGGGAAGGTAGGTGGGATGGTGATAGTGAGTGCAGGTAGGCAGTGGTGGGGATTGGTCAGTGAGGTGGGAGGAGCGGATAGGTGGGAGAGAAGACGAAACAGGTCAAGGAGCCGGGATGAGAGGGAGGGTTGGTCATGGGATGAGGCCAGGGTGGGGAGATTTTGAAACTAGTAAAGTCCACATTGAGACCATTGGGTTGTAGGCTTCCAAGGCGGAATATGAGGTGCTCCTCCTCCAGTTTCCGGGTGGCATCATTGTGGCACTCGAGGAGGCCCAGGATAACATGTTGTCCAAGGAGTGGGAGGGGGAGTTGAAGTGGTTCGCGACTGGAAGGTGTTGTCGTTTGTCGCGAATAGAGTGCAGATGCTCTACAAAGCAGTCTCCAAGCCTTCGCTTGGTCTCATCAATGTAGAGGAGGCCACATTGGGAGAAATAGACCACATTAGCGGTGTCCATGCTGTACAGCTCTATGAACCTATGGCTAAACACACAATAGAGACAGCAGAACGGAAATTTTCTGGGACTGTTGTTCTGCCCGGAATTCCAATTTACGTCTCCAATCTAAAAGAACAATCAACCTGCACTAACAAGACTCTAACCTGAGGCAGCTTTTACAGCTCAGGTTACCCAGCACAGACTGTACTGGACATTCAACTTCAATTGAAATCCATTCACACATACCTTTAACAGTTGGAAAACCAATCCACTTCAGAAGAAACACCAGAAACATGATGGAGAACACATTTTGAGGGGAGATAACAGGGTTTGCATTCAGTATAACTGCCATCCCTGCTTTCACCTGGGAAAGCCTTTTTCAACAACAAGCTTCTGCACATATAGCCTCCCCACAGGGTTCCAGTTCCAACAAGCACCTTCGGAACCAAGAACCACAGAGGCTGAACAGAGAAGGTGAATCAAGAAGCTGAACAGAGAAGCTGAATCAGGAAGTTAAACTGAGAGCATCATCAGAACAAAGGACATCCGAGAATGGAGGAGGCCAACCAAGCACTATCCAAACCAGAGCTTCCAGATACGGACCTTTTCTGAACCAAGGGAACTATGAGCGACCAGGCGCACTTTAAAACCGCGTTTTCCCCAGTGGTGAGCTGAAAATCCCAAGACCCCAAAGTTCTGACCTAACTAGCAGGGAGGGGAAGGTGGGTGATGACTGCGCATTGGGACCCCAAGCGTAGGAAGCCTGATTAAAAATTCTGTAATTAAAAACATTGTTTTTAGGCTCTAATAGTATTTAATCTAGCTAATAGTGTATTTAGTAGTATTACTGCCCTCTGTATATTCAATTGTGTCAATTTCCCCGTTCATTGCATTTACCCATATTTCTTGCATTATACTTATCTGTTGTATTGTAAATGAACACAGAGATTCTTTTACCTGAAACACCTGCTTGCTGCCTTTTTCATTTCACACTCCCTAAATAAGTCCAAGTGTCTAGAACCAGAGATCTTGGGATGATTCGAACCACTTAAAAATCAGAAAATTATTGATTGCTAACTAGAACCCCAGTTCTGAGGAAGGGTCGCCGGACCCGAAATGTTAACTCTGTTTTTTCCTTCACAGATGCTGCCAGACCTGCTGAGCTTTTCCAGCAAATTTGTTTTTGAAACCTACGGAGGCAATTAATGCTGGCCAGTCAGTAACACCCACATCCCAGGACCGAATAAAATAAAGTTAGACAACCATCCAAGCTCATAACGAATAGCAGAGCAGGTTTGAAAGGTTGAATGGCACACTCCTGCTCCTAATTTCTATGTTTCCATGTTTCTTGGCTTTCCATGCTTTTATTTCCTTCTTCCAAACCATAGACCTGATTTTCTGCCCCTTGTTGTCCTTATTCAGCCAGTTTTTTTTCTGTTTGCTTGAAGCTTCTCCTGCCCTTCTTGGTATGATGACTTGCCATCACTAACCAGCTCCTTCTGGCATACATGCCAGCTTAATGCCAATGTTGGTTGTTGATATTTGTACTAAATGGCCTTATCCAGGTCTTCACTATCACTTGGTCCACTCTCAGCTTGGCCACTATCTATCAAAATGTGTTGTCTGAAAGGTGTGATGTATGAACGTGCAAAATGCATGGTGCATATGTAGCCTCCTCATTTATTCACGTCTGTCCACTAACAGTGCCAGTAAGCTATATGCAATGTACTCCAGCAGTTTGGTTAGAATGTTGCAATATTACCATTTTATCATCAGTCCCTCTGATGTTTCCTGGGCCTCTCCATTTTTTTCTTTGTTCTTCCCTTTCAAACAGAGATTATTGAAGGTAGTAGGACAGATGAAGAGAACAGTAAAAGCAGGCAGTTTTCTCAACTTTAATAATAGGGGCATAGTGTACAGAAGCAAGGAGGTGATGTTGAACGTATACAAAGACTTATTAGACCTCAGTTGGAGTGTTCAGCGCAGTTGTGGGTGCCACATTACTGGAAAGATGCAAATACATTGGAGAGAGTACAGCAGCGATTTACAGGAATTGTTCCAAGTATGAGAAAGTTCAGCTTTGGGGATAGATTAAAGAAGTTGGGACTGTTCTCCCCAGAGCGAAGAAAGCTGAGAAGAGACCTGATTGAGGTTTCAAAATCATGAGCAGGCTGGACAGAGCAATAGGGTGAACTTGTTCCTGCTTGTAAAATAAGCAAGAATGAGAGGGCGTACGTTTAAAGTGCAAATGAAATACAGGTGATGTGAAGTCATGTTTTTTCACACAGCAAATAGCTAGGGTATGGAATGCACTGCCTGGAAATGTGGTACAGACAGAATCAGTTGGACATTCAAGAGGGCATTGGATTTTTTTTGTTGATAGAAATAGTGTGCAGGGAAATAGGGAAAAGATAAGAGATGGGCACGAGGTAATAGAAAAAACAGAGTTAACATTTCGGGTCAGTTCGGCGGAAGGGTCACCGGACCCAAAATGCTAACTCTGTTTCTTCCTTCATAGATGCTGCCAGACCTGCTGAGCTTTTCCAGCAATTTCTGTTTTGTTTCCTGATTTACAGCATCTGCAGTTCTTTCATTTTTTACAAGGTAATAGAGCTGGATTAGATAATGGAGCTGGTACAGGGCCAGTGGGTCAAATGACCTCATTCTACATCGTCAGAAATCGCACGTCACCGGGTTATAGACCAACTGTTTTATTTGAAAACACAAGACACAGTATTTATAAGTAAAAGATTAAAGTATCAAACCACTGATCAGGATGTATTGAACAAACCTAAGATGTTGTTATATCTTTAATCAGTTAGGAGGTTTTAATTGATTAATATGCATATGTAAATCCCCAAATTCCTTTAAGTCACTGTCCTGAGAGAACTAAAGGTTTTATCAGTCTAAAGAAGAGGTGATATTTTAGGTCAGACAATGCACGTTAGGTGTGAGGCCTTGTTTAGAATCTGTTTGCATTTTGGTTTGGAGCCAGACTGTTTTGCTTCTAAAGTAGCAATTAATAAAACACCACATTGACTGTCTATAAGTTGTGTGCTTTTTGAACAAAATAGAATGTAACTGCAAGTACAAATTCACCCCATAGATTCACATGTATGTATGTGCACAGGGGGAGAGAGACTGTGTGTGTGTGTGTGTGTGTGTGTGTGTATAGGGGTGCAATGGAAAGGGGGGGTGGAGAAACAGTGCGATTGCGAAGTGTGCATATGAGAGAGGATCTGTGTGAGTGTGTGTGTGTGTGTATGCATGTGTGTGAGTATATAGTGTGGTGGGATCACCTGTAGTGTGACATGAACCCAAGACCCCGGTTGAGGCCGCCTTCATGGGTATCGAACTTGGCTATAAGTCTCTGCTCGGTAACTCTGTGTTGTTGTATATCCTGAAGTCCGCCTTGGAGGACTTTTACTCGAAGATCCGAGGATGAATGTCCTTGACCGCTGAAGTGTTTCCCCATTGGGAGGAGGCATTACTGTCTGGCGATTGTTGCGCAGTGTCCATTCATTTGTTGTCGTAGCGGCTGCATGGTTTTGCCAGTATACCATGCCTTGGAACATCCTTGCCTGCAGTGTATGAGATAGACAGCATTGGCCAAGTCACATGAGTATCTGTCCTGCACGTGGTGGGTGGTGTTCCCACATGTGAGGGTAGTGTCCATGTCAAAGATCTGACATGTCTTGTAGAGGTTGCATGGCAGGGTTGTGTTTGATGTTGTCCTGAAGGCTGGGTAGTTTGCTGCAAACAATGGTCTGTTTAAGGATTAGCAGTTGGATTAGAAGCTGTTGAAGGGCGCCCTCATAGGAGCAGGATACGATACTCAATTCATCAAATGGCAGTCTTTTTGTCAATTCATTGACAGGATGAGGGCATCACTGACCACACAGCATTTATTGCCCATCCCTAATCATTCAGAGTCAACCACATTGCTGTGGGTCTGGAGTCACATGTAGGCCAGAACAGGTAAGGATGGCAGTTTCCCCTTCTCTAAAGGGCACTAGTGAACCAGTTGGGTTTTTTTTCAACAATTGGCAATGGGTTCATGGTCATCATTAGATTCTTAATTCCAGATATTTTATTGAATTCAAATTCCACCATCTGCTGTGGTGGGATTTGAACCCAAATCTCTGGATTAACAATCTGGCTATAATATCACTAGGGATTTGCCTCCCCACTGAAACTCACAATCATCTCTTCAGATACAAGAATGCTTCCCACTTGGCCACCACCAATTTGATCAGTGTCTGTGGTGAGAACAGGTAGATTAGCATTTCAGTTTTCTGTTTTATTTTGTTCAAAAACCACTTAATTTATCGACAATCAGTCAATATGGCATTTAATAAATTCCTACTTTAGAAATAAAACCAGTCTGACTCCAAACTAAAACACAAACAGATTCTAAACAAGGCCTCACACCTAACATGCATTGTCTGACCTAAAATGTCACCTCTTCTTTCGACTGGTAAAACCTTTACTTCTCTCAAGACAGTGACTGAAAAGGAATTTGGGGATTTACATATACATATTAATCAATTAAAACCTCCAAACTGATTAAAGATTTAATAGCGTCTCAGGTTCGTTTAATACAACCTGACCAGTGGTGTGACCCTTTGATCATTTACTTATAAATTCTGTGCCTGATACTATCCTCTCTCACAGTATTCTGGATAATCAAGAACTACGCCAAAACACAGCCAACACTGACCAAGCAAAGCTTGGAATCATCAAAGTCCCCGATAAAAAGTAGTGCGTAGTAATATCAACACACCTTCTGAAATCAATGTAAAAACACACAGTAAGTAAAAGAACTGTAATGCAGGGATAACACGCACCACTGTTATGCTTAATGAACAGTATAACTATTCAGAGATAACAAGGTGCAGGGCTGGATGAACACAGCAGGCCAAGCAGCATCAGAGGAGCAGGAAGGCTGACGTTTCGGGCCTAGACCCTTCATCAGAAATGGCACACCAACAACAACCACAACTAGCACACCAACAACAACCTCAAACAGCACACCAACATCAACCTCATCCAGCACACCGACAACAACCTCAACCAGCACACCGACAACAACCTCAACCAGCACACCGACAACAACCTCAACCAGCACACCGACAACAACCTCATCCAGCACACCGACAACAACCTCATCCAGCACACCGACAACAACCTCATCCAGCACACCGACAACAACCTCAACCAGCACACCGACAACAACCTCAACCAGCTCACCAATATCAACCTCAACCAACACACCAACATCAACCGCATCCAGC